GGAGGTTTGATAGTTTCTCATAGAAACCTCTAAAAGACTTTTGTCTCTATATAATCTGATAGAGAAAAGAATGCTCTATTTTTCTATGCTATTAGATCATACCGAATGAGGCAGAATAAATGCTTGCATTTTATATTTCAATTTTTAATCACTTCATACATTGTATTATAAAGCAGAGTATATTACAAGATTCAGCGTTAACAGCTGTAAACTTTACATAAGGCCGCTTGTTTTTTGTATCCACCTTTTATTTTCAAAATGGATATAATTCTATGCGACCACTTTTCGAAGATCTTCAGATTTCATTTCTTTTCTTAATTAGGAGTACTTATCGATTGTGATTTGGTATTGAATAACTCGTATGCGTCTTCTCTAACAAGCGATATCAGAATAGTTGAGAAATAAGAAAATGAATTTGTCATGCGCTAAAAAGCTACCATTTTTACACGATCAAAAGTCGGTTGCTCAACTACTATTACATTTTGAAAACAAAAGATGAATACACAGCATAAGTGATCTTATGTAAAATGTACAGCTGCTCACGCTGAATCGTGTAGTATATTGTGTTGTTTTAATACAATGTACGAAGTGATTAAAAATTGAAATGTAAAGTGCACGCATTTATTCTGCCGTACTCGTTATGATCTAACGCAGCCAGCACATATACCAACGAAAGAAATCTTATCGAAAGTTTATTATTTTTCTCTATCAAATTATATGGAGAGGAAGTCTTTTATAAGAAACTATCGAGTCTTCGCAGCTACCTTTGGACTGTCCTAAATAGTTGGATATTTTATCCCACTAAAATTGAATAGTACAATGTGTCATAAACTATTTGAGCGATCACTTGAAAAATATTTCGTTGAAAATTCAAGTAAGTTCTGCCTGGGAAACACTGATATTTTTAGAAACAATTATGTTGTATTGCGGATTCTTTTTCGCTCGCGATAGTGGTTTGAAACTGTAGAAAGGCAAATGTAAAACATCAGCATGGTGACCATGTACTTCGCAACAAAATGGAAAGAGAGATATCAAGACATATATCCCTTTTGGATAAGAAATCGAGTCGATAAGTGCCCATATCATGTCGGCTTTGTTTAACTCATTTAGATTCTTGTGGAAAAGATTGTTGGACACTATTTTCTCTCATAAAAAGGTGTCAGTATTATCATTTTATCGTAGTATATTCTTACTATCGACAATGCTCACAAATAATGCTACCAATGGTGGTGATGGCTCCTTTGCCCATTCGGAAATTTCTCTACCGCGCCCAATTCGGTTTTGGCTTATGCTTCTATTTAATGTTCCATCGGTCATCTGCGATTTCTGTATCATTATGCATATCATGATGAATCGAAGACGACGATCTGCATTGCATAATCATGCCATTTTTATTGTGATTCTATTTAACTTGCCAGTTCAAATCATTGATATCAATTTTCATCTTCTTTTTCTTCATTATGGTTCTGTACAACCACCAAAACCTATTGTATGCCTCATCTGGTGGTTAAATGATTATGGATTCTATATTGGAGGCATCATGGTGATGGCATGGCTGGCCATTGAGCGGCATATTTTAGTATTTCATAAACAATGGATTGCGAATTTAACAGGACGTTTATTTCTCCATTATCTTCCTATGGCTACTATAGTCACATATATTCTACTATTCTATATTATTGTCATTTTCTTTCTAAATTGTGAAGATACGTATGATTACAAGTTGCCGATATGCAACGCATCTCCATGTTATCAAAACTATGGTATTCTGGGTATGTGGGAATTTATTTTCAATACTACTACACCAATCCTTGTCGAAGGTATTGCTAGCATCTTATTTATTCTGCGTATTATATGGCAAAAGCAACGTCTTCGACATTCTGTTGAATGGCGCAAACAACGTCGACTTACCATTCAGCTATTATTAATGTCAGGTTTAAATATGAGTTTTAATCTTCCCATTTATCTTATTCCACTTGCTCATCTATGTGGTCTACCACCAGAATATGGCGTTCAACCTGAACTTTATTTCTTTTTTCTAGGCTATTTTGTTATTTTTCTATTTCCATTCATATGCCTCCGCCAGTATCCTGAATTGCGTAAAAGTCTCAAGCGGAAAATATTATGTATGACTTCACAACACCATCATGCAACAGCTACTGTTGCGCCTACACTGAAAAAAAATGTACTTTACCGAACCTAAAAAGGTTTCGAATTTTGAAACGAATTCTAAACCTTTTCAGTTTTGGCAAAAACCTGAACATAGTTTCGTGTGACTTTACGAAACCTTTAAAGTTCGGTACATTATCGTAAAAAGGTTTAGAATTCGTTTCAAAATTCGAAACCTTTTTAGGTTCGGTAAGGTACCTTTTTTTTCAGTGTACAGAGATGACTACACGAATCGGAACTTTGGTACGGTACAAGTCAGCAATGGTTCATGAATAAAATGAATTCATTCAACTATATGCAAAAAAAAACTATTTACAAAACAACTTGTAACGGTTCTATTGAAGTATATTATGCGGATGACAGTTAGCAGTTCCTTACTATTCCTTTGTATCCATCTGATCGTCGTTGCTATTGTGTTGATGCCCTTCTCATTCTTCTTCCTTTATTTTCTCTAATGCTTACATGCATAAACATGTGCTTTTCATCAGAATGATGCGATTGATGATTTGAAGAAACTAAATAAAGCGTAATAACATTAGTTTTAGCTGCTTTTCTATCAGAAATCGTCACCATTGGCCACCATGACTATCGAATCTCGCAGCCATCTTGGCCGAAGTCAACTATTTCCATGGTGATTCACAACATCATCCTTATATCACCCTTCGTTTTCAGCAACACGAACTAACGCAATATTAACGATTATGTTCGAGATGTCGAATTTATCGAGATGGTGTAGAGATAGTAACACTGCTGAGGCTGACAATAGCATTATCGTATATGAGCATATCCATCAAAAGGTGGCTTTAGTCCTAGCTGACTGTGCGTACTACCACTGCACTGGCATTATAACATATATATGTGATGCACTGTTTCGTCTTGATTCACTCTATGATTCAATATGCATATCAAAAATTTCCATTCTGAGATACAGCGCTGTTGCAGACATCACCTTTTTGATTCAGTACACTCTAAGAAAAAAGGCTGTTTACGAAACCAAAAAGGGTTCTTCCTTCGGGTACACGGAAAGAACCTTTTATGGTTCGGTAAGGAAAAGGTTTCGTGATATATATCAATCGAAAAACATGAGCAAACGGTTTCGTAGTGAAGGTTCGGTACGAAACTGATATGTCCTAGACATCAAAAGGTTTGGTAGTATAGGTTCCGCAAAAGAACCTTTTTCTAAACCCTATAAAATGATTCGGCAGAACCTTTGAACTCCCAAACCTATTTTACTAATCGAATTCAAGAGGTTTCGAACATTATGTGTGCACGTTAATTCTACGGGAATTCATGCAAACCTTTCACTCACCAAACAGACATTAGAACTTACTTTTACAACATGAACCATGTAAACAAAGCACACGAACTTAACCATTTGAGCAACTTCGCGTATTCGACCAGCCGAAAATTTTCAAATGATCATGAAGATCCAAACATATGACCATTCACAATGCCACGAATCTAGCATATTTGTCGTCCAAGTAAATCCTCCAGTTAGTCCTAAGATCGACGTTGGTCTAAACTATAAAACAAGTAAATTCTCCTTTGAAGATTAAACTTACCTGTAAGTCAAACATGGACATTGATCTAGGACAGAAATTAAAGAACTATCTTTTATGTTGAAGACTGAACTCACCATTAAACTGAAGATCGACGTTGATCTAAAATATAAAATCGATCACTAGATTTTATTTAGAACAGTTAGCTTACCCTTAAGGCAAAGATGGACATTGATCTAGAACAGAAATAAAATAAATAAATATTAATTTTTGCACACTGAACTTACGAACAAATTCCAAACTGGTCTTGATCTAAAATACAAGCAACTTAAAGATTTTCAATTTCAAAAGTCATACTTATCATTATGCCAAAGAAGAACACTGACCTAAAAGAGAATATATATAAATGAATTTTATTTAAAAAATTCAACTTCTGTTAAGCTCTATATGTGAGTCATAAGGATGGACACACAGTGAACGAAAGAAAAGAGAAAAATACGATCTTTGTGAGATTCGAACCCACACCTCCTGCTATTCGGGCAGTTATCCTAACCAATTAGACTAGAAGGCGCAATAGAATATAGGATTAGCAGCAGTGTTTTATCACTGACGCTAGCAACTTCTTATTACATATAAGATGGAGATCGATCTAGAATATAGAATGCACGAATACATATCACTTTGAAATGTTATACTTAGCACTAATTGTACGATGAACTTTGATCTAAAACTGTACAAAAAAATAAAATAATTTTTTTTAAACCTACCCTTTTGTTCAATATCGACACCGGTACCAAGTAGAGAACAAACAAATGAATTTTATTATACAAATTAAACTTAACATGACGTCATTGATACTGGTTAACCTGAAATAAAAAAAAATACTAATAATATATTCGATCTTAAAAAGTAGCCTAACTATTACACTTAAGCAAGACGTTTATCTAACGTGAAAAATGAAAACATGGTATTACTAAGATTAAAATTACTATGAATCTCAGATCAATGCTCATCTAAAGTTGACAATCAATAATAAAATTTTGAAAATTTACCCTTACCGTTACCATCCAAGTCGCAGTCGATCTAAGACATAGTATCCATAAAGTTTTTTTCAGCTGAAAATAACCATTTTCATTGAATATTGACGTTCATCTAAGATTTAAAAAGAATCAAAATATTTTATAACAAAAATTAACCTTAATACTACGATGAAGGTTGACGTTCATCTAAAATGGAAAGTGAATAAACACATCTTATTGTAATCATTTAGGTTATCATTACATTCATGAAGAAGTTTAATCTATCTAAAATAGAGAAAAAAAATTGAGATATTTATTCCATTAAACGTAAACTTTCTGTTTCGTTTAACATCGATGCTGGTCTAACAATTAAAGTAAATTGGCGTACTTTATAATAGAGATTGAAGTTACCATTAAGCTCAAGGTCGACGATGACCTAAAATAGAAATTGAATCAATGTATCTTATTGTGATCACTTAATTTACCAAGAAGTTCAAGATCGAAGTTGATGTAAAAAAAAGTGTTAAATATATTTTATTTAAAATTTGGAATTCATCGCTGTGTTAAAAACACAGATTAATCTGAAAAAGCTTGCCAGCCCAGGTCAAAGACGTACGGCAGGAAACGGCCGGATCCGTGGAATTTCCTGCGAATTTCAGAAACTGGAACCCTAAATCGTTTCCGGTTACCGGATTCCGCTTATTTCCTTTCAACTCCAGTGCCCGGAAGTGATTTTGGGATATAGGTGCCATTTTCCGGCCTGTTCCTTCCAACATATCCAGTGTTTTATGACGATGGCCGGAACCGCACCAGGTTCCCACTGTTTTCGATCTGGGTACGTAACCAAGATCCGACCGCATCCGATTTTTTTGTTGTCGTCGGATATGGCGGCTAGATGTGGTGCGAGAATTATAGTTGTCAGCTGCTGGATGTTGATAATTGCTCATTTTTAATCGGCAAATCTTCTGGAGTACATGAATATTAAATTTTATTCAATACTCATAAATAAATCGCTTATAATAAATCTAAAATAAGCAAAACTACCCAGGTTGTTCAATACGGATCCGTTTACGGACCATATTTTCGACCGCAGTAATACGGACCGTACTGTACTTATAATAGCGTTTTATACGGCCCGTATATGGTGTAGTTTTGGAGTGAAGTAATACGGGTTCGTACACTGTGAAAATAGAGCCGTATTACGAGTGCATGACGTAAATGAATTATAAAGTAATTCAAAATTCAATCAAACCTTCGCCTATTCTAACTAAGAGNGTAGATACATGTAGACCCTGGTAGATACATGTAGAAATTTAGTTTTAGCTCTGAATTATATTGTAATTCATTTCTTCTGAATTACTTTGTAATTCATTTGCGTCATCCAGTGAAAAAACTATCGTTTTCAATAAAATTCTTTTCAAATTCGATAAATTTCCTATGAATCATTCTTCGATTAGATAATTTCTATTAGCAATACAAAATAACCGATTAGATAATTTCTATTAGCAATACAAAATAACGAGTTAGATTTTTCACATTAATGAATTCCATGTGCCTCCATGATGACATCCACATTTTCCCTTAACTCGTTAGTTTCCCTTACCTCGTGCCCACACTGCTTGTAACTGAAAGAATTTTATATATCAAAATTCATCATGGATACGTCATTAAAAAACATAAAAATTCACGATCGATCCAGAAGAATGACTATCTACTAGCAATGTGGATAAGTTGCTCATGTGCTTATATCATACAATCAGTGATAATGATTGCTTTGTTATTTCTTTTTTTTTCTTGTTAAAGCTGTCTCTTTACAGCTGCTACCTCTTTTTTATTCTACACATAAAAACTATCTGTGTCCATCGGTTTATTGTTAGTAGTATGGGATTCTTTTTTAAGATTTCTAATGTCTCTATCGCAATGATTTTTCTCTTCATAATGTATCTTCTGACACAATGTATATATATATATATATTGCCAAATGAAAATCGAAAAACATAATATTCTTTTACTTTGCTACTGAATTTTAAGCATCGATGAAGTCGAATACTTATATCCAACTTTCGTTCTATTTAATAATCAATCTTGCTGGTACATACGCATTTATACCACATCCACTGGTTGCAGATGTTTTGCTATCAAGTAGTAGTAAGTTGTTTTCTCTGTTCAATCATGTGAATACAATATAATTACTTTTCTTTGTCAAGGTATTTCGCATGCAGAAATTACTCAGCGTGGTATCATTCGTAGTCTAGCTCGTTTCTTTTTTGATACACGTTTATTTGCAAATGACACCAATGCCACGCTTGTTAATGAAGAAGCATATTTTAATACAGATTATACTATTGATGATCTTTATGAATTAGCGCATCCAGAATATAATGCGTTCGAAGTAACATCCTGTTCACTTCCATTAAAATTTATTGTTGATTCTATAATGACAGAAAATGCTCTGGTTGACTTTAAGGATAGCACACAAAAAGTTGCGGCGGCACATTATGATGGTGAATCATTTATAAACGCCAGCAGACGCATTCTTCAATTTAGAGGCAGAAGTAATCGAATGACATAAATTAACTTGTAATCATTGTTATCTTTATTCTATTTAGTTATCAACGCTATTAGTAATACCAGCCAAGATTTATCTAATGCACGTGACTTACTTGGGCAATTGCTTCATACATTACAAGATTTTTATTCACATTCAAATTGGATTGAAATGGGAAAAACTGATATTAATGAGCTTATTGGTTTCAATGAAACTATTGGTATAGTTGCTCGACCTGATCAACCAACATGTACAAATAATGGATGCACAAAAATAGAACACTCTTGTGTAATTCTATATAGATTTGATGACTCAAGAACGTATTTTCTTTTTAGACTCTTTGGCAAAAAATTACTATTGGCAACTGTCCACTTGTATATTATGATTGTCAAAATAATATTTTACCAGAAATCAATAATCAACAAATACTTACAAGCGGCTATTATGCTACTGACGTTAATGAAAACAACGAACTGCTTCTAAAACCAACAAATGTTGAAAAATGTTCTCATGGTTCAGTACGTGATGATTCATCAAATATACCAGCTATTGGTGGAATTAATAAAGATTCATATAGTTTAATCTTTTCACCTCATGCAAATCTTCAGTAAGTAAACGAATGACATTTAAAGTCTTATTGCATTCAGTCTAAGGAAATGCGAAATCAACCTAATTGTTTTTTTTATATTCGAGTAAACAAGCAGCTGATCTAGCTGTAAAGGCAACTGAACAATTTGTCAATGATCTACGCCGAGATATAGGTGATCACAATTTCGATCGTCTTTTTGTCATTAATCCAAGTGGAGAAGAATGTCACTTCGCATCAGCTTCCGTCTCTCAAGGAAAACGATTTCGACTTTTTACACCAAATCTTTCAGCTCATGTGAAAGATAATTGTCGTTTCTGGACAAAACTTAAAATATCGTTCAACAAATTTGTTAGAACAATCAAATCAATGTGGACTAGTGCCTTGTTTGGAGTGGAAGATATCAATAAACCGACTTATGACTTTAGTGACAAAGAAGTGGATGTGACGAATGTGAATAATTCTCGTGCTGCTCCATATGCTTTTGGACAAGAAAAGTTCAAACTCAAGAAGCATATGATCCATCTTGCACGGAAGCGTTGATTATAAAAAGCTTATTATTAAGCATACATTTATTTTAAATACTCCTAATAATTCCTATTTTTATGGTGTTTGTTTCATGTTATTTCCAATTTGAAAAGTTTGAAGTAAAAGGGGCTAAGAAAAACATGAATTGCATCAAGTGACGAAGGAGGGTGTTGGTGTGAGTGTGCGCTGTGGATGTGGGCGGCAGTATTCTTCTACATCTACGCCCATGTTCACACTCAAAATTTCAAATTTTCTTTGGTACTGCCATACAACATGCACAGACCTCCTATTCGCGTATGTTATGATTCGTAGAAAGAGCACTATTATATGTAATGCTCAGTAAAAAGCGCTATAAAAATTCAGACTACGTGCGAGTAAAAATATGGCCAAAATTTTGTCGATTTTATAATGATGTATTAGTCTTTTTGAAGGTAATTCGACTTGACAGGGATATAGAAAATAATTCTGTTCATATGGATACATTTTAAAGATAAAAATATAGTATTTTTTAAGTATGGCTTTAATGTAAAAAAAATGATTGGTACGGTAAAAAAACTACTATATGATGAGTTTGTCGGTACGATACACTTTTCACCAGCATGAAAAGTTATATCTCATCAGTATAGCTTTTGACTCAATTTGAAAAAGAACTTTTTTGAGAATTATGGAGGATCATCGTGATACAAGGATTATATCAATATAGAGGAGAGAAAGTCTCGATAAAATTCTAACAAACCTCCGATACACTTCCAATCAAAAACCAAATGACCTTGCCATAAAATGTGCTATTGACATATGAAACATATAGATGAATCATCAAAGACTTGTATCAGAATAAAACTGTACAGCAAGAGAACTATCTAGAAGATTGATATTCTTCGTACTGATTCGTACGAATATTCGTTGATGAGTTTAAATTTTAATCACCTTATTTATTTATTTACATGTCTATGGCATCAGTCTAATTGTTCTTCTATACGGTATCGGAAGAATAAACAAAAGGAAGTATACGGTATCGGAAGAATAAACAAAAGGAAGTATACGGTATCGGAAGAATAAACAAAAGGAAGTATACGGTATCGGAAGAATAAACAAAAGGAAGAACAGCAATGCACGCCAACGGCGTCATCACTGCCTCGATTTCGATTTTCGTTCTATTCGTTTTCTCTTCCTTGTCATTCTTTCTCTGTTTGTTATCGTAGTCCTATCTGTTGACTTGTTTCGTAAGCGTCCGCAAAAAATTGTACAAAAATCACAAAAAAATGTATGGATGTCACGAATAAAATTCAGCGTAATTAAAAAAGAAAAAAAAATGCTCTTCTTGATGGTGAATTAATGATTTCAAATTGTACGTCATTAGTTCAAGCAGTTTTGATCATATTCTGAGTCCAATTCAAATTAAGCATCTCATTATATCCGTTATCACATCTTGTCAGTAAACAATGATTGCTGAACGAGTATAAAAATACCTGTAGATACCTATTACCTTCTACGTTAGTTTAATGTCTCCATTTGACACAATGAAGATAACTTCTGAATTTTGGTATAATTTCTTACTCGGTATTCAAATAGGTTTCAATTGATTAATATTTACAGACATTTTATACAAGCTTCATCAAAAGCACTTTGACTCCCAGTTCAATGTATCGATAATAAGAGGATAGAAAAGATTGACGATGATTAAACAATATCTTGATTCGTTGGTACTATGTTACAATAATATCTCAAAACAGATGTACTTCAAGGTTTGCAATTACACATGTTTATTCGAGCTGTAATTATTCTTGCATAGATTACGTTCGTTTCTGATTCAAACACATATCAGAATGTATTTTAAGACTTTGTGAGCGATGTACATTGAGTAGAATAATTTAATATTGATATATTTCACGAAAGTCAGTCATCACGGATCCAATTCTATTTGCATAAGTTGAAGGTTTTGGATAAATAGTAAATCTATCATCGATTATTTTTGCTGTTACACTTTATGTTGATGAAAAAAGTAATCTTATAATGAAGGTTTGGGAGAATAATAAGTCATCAAGAAATCTACGCATAAACCAATGTGAACCTAACGAAGCATTACCATTCGTGATATTAAATATTTTTATCTACCATACTCATCTACAGTTTTAGAAAGTAGCAGTAAAAATGCAATTTTTTGCTGATGATATCAATACTTCTTAAACACTTTATTTCTATTTTGTAAATAATTATAATAAAGAAAAACAAAACCCGAACTCGAACCAGTGAATATCTATTGGACTCGGCATTCAATGCTAATTATACTATACCATGGACAACAATTATTGATAGAAACCTTATTTGTTTTTTTTTATGATTATTTTTTCTTTTTCGCTCTTTTTCTTTCATTAACGTGTCATGCTCATTGTAACAAATGTGAAATGAAAAATACATCAAAGTCATGGACAAATACATACTATTACGAAGGTTTATCTCATTTTTCTCACTCATGAAAAAAGGTAAGCGGAAGAAAAAATAGAAGACCGCATGTGATCTGATACTATATATATATATACGTTGTGAAATGCCAATTGTCGCAAATTGATAAAACCTTGATGCATCACTCTTATCGATCATCGTATGGAGTGCATCGTTTTCACGGGACGCGACCGTCCGTTATTCGATACCCAAGACCTGGATTATCTCATCGGCACGTGATGATACGCCGCCCTGTATTTTATCCTCCAGGAATTCCAGCAAAACAAATCGGTTTCTTTGATAGCATACTCGCTGTGTTAGCTGTATTATTTTGTTGTAACAGAAATCGAACAGGTGGAGGAATAATAGGTATTGGTGGTGGTGGTGGAATTACATCGGGTGGCGGTGGTGGAGGAAATTGCGGAGGCGGAGGGGGTGGTGCCG